CACACACACACACACACACACACACACACCTGCAGTGTCTTACAGCAGAGCCCCCATCGGAAGCCCTGTCCACCTTCTCCATTTCCACACGCTCGCTGTGCTCCCCCCCCCACACACACACTACCCATGATGCCCCCCCCCACCCCAGTGCACTTACACCCTCACCAGAAATCAATTTAATCCTTTTAAATTTTTATGTGAAATTAGATTTTTTTTTTGTGAGCCCAGAGGGGATTAATCAGAATTAATGAGCATTTAATTAGAAAGTCAGGCTTTTTTTGAGTGAGGGATGGGTGGGGCTAACCTTGCCGGCCAGGTAGAGCATGTGTGTGTCAGGGTCATAGAAGGGAAAGAGAAGTCCGGAAAGGCCATCTATCTCCTCCTCGATGATGGGCATGGACAGGTCCTCCTGCCCCGAGAGATGAGCGATCAGTACACGGCTCAGTGTCCGAGCTGTGCCCCACTCTTGGGGACGTCGGGGGGGGGGGCACTCACCTGGTCCCACAGGGCCACCTGTCTCGTGTTCCAACGGGACACGCCTGTGGTCAGGAGCCGTTTCACGTTGCCCAGGAACACAACTCTGTTCACCTTGTGGTTCTTGCAGTTTGCCTCCTGAGAAAGAGAAAACATGCATGTGGAGGATGAGCAGATGGATGGATGGATGGATGGATGGGACATTATGGGAGGTGTGGTGGCTCAGCAGGTTGCACCACTCGTGTGTGTATGTGTGTGTGTGTCTGGATTATGTACCCTGTGATGGACTGGCACCCTGTGCAGGGTGTACCCCAGCCTCGTGCCCTGTGATGGACTGGCACCCTGTCCAGGGTGTACCCCAGCCTCGTGCCCTGTGATAGACTGGCACCCTGTCCAGGGTGTACCCCAGCCTCGTGCCCTGTGATGGACTGGCACCCTGTCCAGGGTGTACCCCAGCCCCAGTCCAGGGCCCCTTGCGCCCTGAAATTCTTGGGATCACTGTAACTCTATCCTAGATCAGTGCTTAATAGACCATTAACACTGTCTTTATTATTTCTTTGTCTTTCTGACACAGGAAACCAGCTAATCCCGCCTGACATGGAGTAATAATTACAAATGGATGCCAAGCTCCTGACTAGATGTTTGCCAGTGGCAGCCTCACACGCACCTTCATCCACATCGACTCCGTTTGGTTTCCCTATCTGCATGACGTCAGATTTTTTTTTCTGTAGCTATTCAAGCTACATCGTTTGATAAAAAAATATTATAATAACAACAAGAATATGAAAACTCGGCATCATCAGGTTACACAACCACTCAGGTGACGATTGGCCTCCTTGTTAACCAGGTCACCTAGCTGTACGAACATGGGGGGAGGGGTCATGCAGACAGAGGTACGAGGATCCGGCATTAATGCAGCTGTAGACAAGCAGATTAATTCAAGCTTTTGTGTTTGGATGGGGGTCCTTTGAAGTGAGATTTAAGTGCTGTTCAGGGTGATGTGATTGTGTCTTTCTGTCTTTGCGGCAGTTCCTCTGGAGTTGAGTCTGTTTGCTGTCTGCGGCTGTGGCGTTCGGGTCTGATCTGAGTGTGATGGAGGATGGGAGGGTGTTATAGAACGTGGGGAGCTGGCTGCCTTACTTTAGCTTTCATTTTTTATTCAGCTTTTATTTATATTCTGTTTAGAATTGTTTAAATTTCAGTTTCAGAATCAATATCATTTTCACAACATTTTTTATTGGAATTTGAGCTTTTGGACCCATTTTTTTCACCATGAAATTAGTTCTAATTTCACTATTATATTTATTTATTTAAATACCTCAGAGTACACACTGATATTAAACTGGACTGGTTTAAAACACAACTGCACTGTACAAGAAGGGCCAGAACTGCCTCTATTTTCTGAGGAGGCTGAGGTCTTTTAACATCTGCCAGACAATGCTCAGGATTTTCTATGAGTCTGTTGTGGCCAGTGCCGTACTCTACGCTGTTGCATGCTGGGGCAGCAGGCTGAGGGTAGCAGATGCCAAAAGACTCATCAAACTGATCCGCAAGGCCAGTAACGTTGTGGGGATGAAGCTGGACTCTCTAAAGGTGGTGTCGGAGAGGCGGTTGTTGTCCAAGCTAATGACAATGCTGGACAATATCTCCCACCCACTCCATGACGTGCCTGTGCCTATCTCTCTGTTCAGCTCCTCCATCTAAGCACAAGTATACACTGCACTACAAGTATACACCTCAATTCAAATCTATCTATAGTTAATTTTTCTGTAATGTATTAGGATATTTGTATATTGTTTGTATATTGAGTTTTTGTATTATTAGAGCCATTTGTAATTTTTGGTAATTTGTAATATTTTGTATTATTTAATACTGGTATTTTAACTTGTTAATTATTTTCTTACTGTCCTGGAGCAACTGTAACCACATTATTTCCTCAGGGATTAATAAAGTATTCTAATTTTTATTCTGATTTATCCATATCTGACATATCATGCAGTACATTTTTAATCTAATACACATTTCCAGTGTGTTTAGTTCATTTGCACAAGGCTGCTGTGCTCATATTGTGACCAAGACCCCAGATAGAAAAACATTCATTTTTAAAATTGTTTTTTATTAATTTTGCTTTCAATAAAACTAATATACATTCTTAATTATGCTAATGTCATCTGCACTGGTATGCATCTAGAGTCAGTGTGTGTGTGTGTGTGTGGATTATGTTTATATTACATGTGTTACCAGATGTTCCCCACGTTCCCCACAATGTAATACAATCCTGTTTTATTGATGTTGTGAGGACCATTTTTCTGTGAATATAATCAAAAAACTAAAAATGCCAAAAGTTTTGTATTTTGTTTGGTTTCTTATGGCAGCATGGTAGTGCGGTGGTTAGCACTGTTGCCCGGACCCGGGTTCGAGTCTCTGCCTGGGTTACATGTGTGTGGAGTTTGCATGTTATCCCCATGTCGTCGTGGGGTTTCCTCCCGGTACTCTGGTTTCCCCCCACAGCCCAAAGACATGCTGAGGCTAATTGGAGTTACTAAATTGCCCATAGGAGTGAATGGTGTGTGAGTGAATGGTGTGTGAGTGAATGGTGTGTGCTTGTGCCCTGTGATGGGCTGGCCCCCCATCCTCGGTTATTCCCCGCCTCGTGCCCGTAGCTTCTGGGATAGGCTCCAGACCCCCCGCAACCCAGAAGGATAAGCGGGTTGGAAAATGTATGGATGGATACCTTATAGGTTAAGGTTAGGCCTGGGTAGGGGTTAAGGTCATCAGGCTGGGATTAGACTTTCCCCCCACGATGATATAATTACCAACCTGTGTGTGTGCACGCATGCATGTGAACATGAGGGGGAGTGGCTGTGACTCATTGGATGGTCATGTGACCCTGCAGCCCACCTGCAGCACCCGCCCAGACCGTGGCTCAATCACACGCAGCTTCTTGTCCTTGCAGCTGGTGGCCACTAGGCTGCCATCTGTGTTGAAGGACATGCAGAGGATGACGTCTGTGTGGCAGTCGATCATCTTCACGGGCTCGCCGATCTCCAGGTTCCAGATCAGAATCTGAGGGCGGGGAACAGGGGGGGCTCCCATGGGCATTTTGAGAAGCTAGTGGAGCACCCAAAGCCATGGGTGACAGTGGCGGAGCCCCCCCACCCCCGCAGTACCTTATAGTCATAGCCGGCGCTGAAGAGGATGCCGCTGGTGGTGGGGTGCCACTCGATGAGCCCCACCCTGCGGCTGTGTCCGTACAGCTCCAGCACGGCCTCCGTCATGTTCCGCTTCAGCCCCCCCTCCGGGATCTCCCAGATCCGCACCTGGGGAGCACAGGTGCCCACGCTCACCCCTAGTTGCAATAACTGCACCTCATGGCCTCAGGGAAAGTAACTGGTACAAGACCTGTGAGCTGTGTGTTACTATTACAGCTAAACACAGGCAGCCCCCAGGTTACATGAGTCTGTCTATAAAGCTGAATTTGTAAGTAAGTCGGAACAATAAGAATACAAAACGCAATAGTAGTAATGACAATACAGTGATATAAGACTCCATGCAGTACTGTACTGTACCTCGGACAGACAAACCGCTAAAGCCACGCAGTGTTTTCACAAGTGTCGCAAAGTAAGTCAAATTTTTAATGTAATAGGCTTTATGGCAGTCCATTCGTAAGTAGGACTTGTCCGTAAGTGGGATGTTCTTAGCCCCGGGGTCTGTTTGCAGTGTATTTATAATTTTTGGATTTATTGTATCTATTTTGAGGTCAAAATCCGACAAAATGCTGTTGAATGAAAAGTAAAAACATTATTCCATTCAGTTTAAAGTGCACGGTTAGCTGTGAAACAGCCTTAGGCTGAGCAGGACAGAGGAGACAGTTAAATCTCCTAAAAGCCAGTGGAAGCAGGATGTCGAGGTCCTACACATGGAACGCCAGCAGTTTTTAGTCATAAGGCATCAGCTACAGGTCATACGGGATAGTCATTGTCATACGGGACAGTCAGTGTCATACAGGACAGCCAGTGTCATGCGGGACAGCCAGTGTCATACGGGATAGTCAGTGTCATGCGGGACAGCCAGTGTCATGCGGGACAGCCAGTGTCATACGGGGTAGTCAGTGTCATACGGGATAGTCAGTATCATACGGGATAGTCAGTGTCATACGGGACAGCCAGTGTCATACGGGACAGTCAGTGTCATGCGGGACAGCCAGTGTCATACGGGATAGTCAGTGTCATGTGGGACAGTCAGTGTCATGCGTGACAATCAGTGTCATACGGGATAGTCAGTGTCATACGGGATAGTCAGTGTCATGCGGGACAGCCAGTGTCATGCGGGACAGCCAGTGTCATACGGGACAGTCAGTGTCATACGGGACAGCCAGTGTCATACGGGACAGTCAGTGACATGAGGGACAACCAGTGTCATACGAGACAGTCAGTGTCATGCGGGACAGCCAGTGTCATACGGGACAGTCAGTGTCATGTGGGACAGCCAGTGTCATACGGGATAGTCAGTGTCATGCGGGACAGTCAGTGTCATGCGTGACAATCAGTGTCATATGGGATAGTCAGTGTCATACGGGACAGCCAGTGTCACGTAAATGGCTAGTGCAATATTGCAATATTGAACTACAGATCTGACGGCTGTACCCCTCGCTGTACCATTGAAATCAGATTGTAAAATCATATCTGTATCAAAATTAAAACATGTCTGATTAAACCGGCAGTGGTAGAAAGGAACAAATCACCTTAATAAGAGGCCTGGTGAATCTCAAAGCAAAACACCCACCTACAGGCACAGCTATCAATAAACACACTAGCCACTCACAGAGGAGTCCTCGGAGCAGGAGGCGACGATGTTTTCAATGAAGGGGTTCCATTTGATGTCCAGCACGTTGCCTTGGTGACCGCACACCTTGGGGTAGTGGGGGTCCAGCCGCCCCGACTGAGGGGATGATGTGCAGGAGGCATAGAGGGGAAACACAGAAAAAGAACAAAAAAACACAAAGTCAGCCTGATGGATGTCCGGGTGCACTGCCCCCTGCTGACCTCCTGAGAAAGGAGCATTTTACAGACATGCCCAGCGCCATCCGGAAACAGTTTATGATGTTTAGAAAGCAGTAGCAGTGTGGGCCTCAGCAGGTTAGGCTGTTGTGACTGTGACCGCAAGGTCACTGGTTTAAATTCTCGGGACGGCAGAGTGATTTCTCTGTTGAGCCCCTGAGACAGACCCTTAAGCCACAGGCACTGACTGAGCCTGTAGATAAAAGCGCTTGCTAAATATCATGTAAATGTTTGTAAACCAATCCCTCAAAGTCTATTACGCAGAATATACTTATTATACATGGGGCTTATAGAGGGATTTGTGTGTGAAAATGCAGCGTGGCCTCACATTTAAAGCATTCCCTTAGAAATGCATGGAATTTAAGACAAACAAAAGCTTGTATTACATTTCATGTTCACGACACTGCAGCTGTTTAGATTGTGTGTGGTACTCCTGCAGTAACAGCCCGGTTCTGCTGTGTGACTGTGTGTCCACCATGTGGCGCCGCTGCGTTGCCTGTGGATGCAGAATACTGCTCGTGTCATAAATATTTGAGGCCATTTAAATGTACTGACCTCCTTCTCAGGAGCCCTGGGACACAGTAGCCCCTGCTGGGCGAGATGAGGCAGCACAGGGCTTTCACACTGTGCCACCAGCAGCCGTGTCTCGCTGAAATTCACCACAGCGCACGAAGACTGCGAGTGAACGCGGAAGGACACCTCAAGGCATCCCGTCTGCATTTGCATTAAATTTAAATGCATTAACTCAGATGAGCGATCCCCAGTGTAACAGGCTCAAATGCAAGCTGCATAATAATCCAGTCAAATAAGACAAAATAATCCATCCATTCATCGTCAAACTACTTATCAAGTACGGGGAGATGGGGGGGGTGGGGGACTGGAGCCTATGCCCGGCAACATAGGGAACCAGGTGGGGGGACACTCAGGAAGGGATGCCAGATTACTAGGGGATACTAGTCACACAGTTTAATATCAGGGGAAAGTGGGCAGAAACCCACGTAAGAGGGACACACACACACCACTAGGGAAATATTTGAACCCACAACCCTGGAGGCAAGAATCACCAGTGCCACCCACTGAGCCACCCCAAGCTAAGCTAATTAACTTTCAAATTTATGACCCAATTTCTCTGTCACTGGTTTAATTAGAACAGCAGATATCACAAATTAGATGTAATATAGATAGATAGATAGATAGATAGATAGATAGATAGATAGATAGATAGATAGATAGTCTTTCCAACATGGAGCTGCTGATGGGTCGTCTTAACCCCCCGATGAGACTCCAGATCGCTGCATTCCTTCTTTGCTGATACACCACATGATCGTATAAGTCAGAGAAGCTCGGCAGAGCTGTAGCTGCAGTGTGCTGTGCGAATATTAAGGAGGAGTAAGAATCCAAGTAACCATGGCGTTCTCCACAAGCACCCCCTTCAACTGCACCCTCAAGCGGAAAGTTAGATAAGTCCAACGCGGTGGAGAAGTGAAGCCTCATGGTGTGGATCATCTTGTCCAGGTGAGGTTTAGCTCTCAGAAGCAGAGGTTGGTACCTTCCTCACCTACTTCTAAACGGTATACAGACTGCAGCATCCATCCATCCATTTTCTATGACTGCATAGCAAGTACAGGATGACAGGGAGGCCAGAGCCTATCCATGAAGGCAGAGGGACACCACGGGCAGGATGCCAGTCCATTGCAGGACAGACAATCCCACTTGATTTAAAGACACTAAGATTCCAAGAGGCGCCCTGTTTTTGGGCTGATTTGCGTGCAGAGGTCGCCAAGAGATACCCGGAGTGTGACCTCTATCAGACACACAGGATGCTGTAATGCAGAGAGACAGGCCTTTTGTTTCACAGGAAGAAAGACCTATTGAGGCGCATAAACACTAGCGCCATTGCTGAGCCTGCCTGTCAGCCGGGATGCGGCCAGGACTCTGCCCAGGCCTGCCTTTGTGTGTCTGGGCCGTGGGGCTCGAGAGATAGCGGCGGGCTGAGCCGGGGCGGCTGGGATGCGGCGTTTGCCCGCGGCTCTGCTCATGCGCTCCCTGCTGCACTCCAGCGCAGAAGATGAAAGAGACTAATTAGCGCACTGTGATCTCATGTGGTAAGCAACATGCAGCAGATTCCCATCAGAGGCCCCTATTCAGCAGTCGCAGCCTCGTCCATCCCAGAGCCATGAAATGCCATCCCATAATATGCATATTTTGCCAAGCCCTCCCCCGATCTTTAATTTACAACATAAATGGTAGCAGTGATTATTATTAGTAGTATTATTATTCGTATTATTTTAATCATTTTTGTTATTGTTGTTGGACTAGGATGCTTGTGCTTTTCACTAACTCTGGATCTCTTGCAGGATCGTCCTGCCAGCTCCCCAGCAGCTCTATGGACGGCCCTGATCCATGAAGGACAGCTGTGCTCCTCCTCCCGGGAAAGAGAAAGTTCCGCTCACAATGCGAAAGCCCCAAGGACTCCTTCTGCATCTGTGTAAACAAGCTGACGCCGTCCCGCCTGAGCACGGACGCGTGCACGTGCAAACTCGCATAAACACACACGGGCGTGACAGATGTTACAATACAGAAGAACCTTCACCAGCGTTCCTGAGGGTGCCCGATTTAGAACGTTCTTCAGGGAAGCCTTTCCCTTGGGGGGCTTCAGCATGGGGGCGTATTGATTTAGGCTGATAAAAAGAGCCAATCACTCAGCAGACACCCCCAACCGACTGCTCCTGCAAATCACAGGAGACGGACCAAAGCCGTGTGTCGCTGCATTATTACGAAAGACACCAACATATAGGGTAAACGGCAAAGTCTGAGCCCAAGCCAGGGTCATTAGTGCACACAGATCTGTTCCTGCAGAGGAATCCAACGGAAGGAAAGTGGAATTTAGAGTAATGCGCGTTTTCTAACAAGCTGTCATGGTCTCCACAGTTTGGGGCGACACTCGTGCACAGGAGCCTCAGACTGTGACATCTTATGCCATTTGACCTTCTAGATGTGATACTACCGACAAGGGAAAACAGGCCACCCACCAAACGCGACGAGAACATGCAAAATCACGCTTTTGTGTGAGGGGCCTGGAGCTATCAGCAGAACTCTGCTGGCTAAGCCGTCCTGCACCGGCCCTGTGGGTTACAAAAAGAGTGACTCTTACTCCTCCTTGTAAAAATATTCAGATCATCAAACTGATTGTCAACCCTACCTCAAAAAAATCTAAATAGCATTTTGAATATCTGTAAAACATCACCTTTCATATGCTTAGGAATATGAGTGAAATGACATTTACAATTATATTTACAATTATATTTAGGCCTATATGTAAAGTTATTTTTTCAAGGTGTTTCAGTTTGCACACTACATGACTGTGGGATTGATTTGGATTTCCATTTCCGTTTACAGTAGTTGCTATGGCTGAGGACTGGGTAAAAGCACGATGAAGCATGGCCTCTCGCACGTCCAGTGAGACTCTGGTGAGGCGTCCCGGTCTGCACTGCCTCCCTGATCCATGCAAAGGGGCCATATAACCGATTTTAAGGTTCAGTGCTGCCAGTATGGTTAGTGTGTGCCGTCTGGGCAGGCCTGTGACTCACAAAGTGTTTTTTTT